GTGAACTCCTCTTGCACACTTTCAGATTGTTTTTACCTGCATGACCTTCTAAAGCCCCTGATAACTTTATGGCCCAGAGAGCAGAAAGAGCAGAAATGCCTGTGTAGTGGGTCAGTGTCAGGTTGGTCTGGTGTTTGTTGATGCCACAGGTCGTGTCTGTCACTCACTGACTTTACATAATGACAGAGAGAGATGCCAAACAAAGCCTCGATTCACAACAACAACAAACGACAGCGCTGACACAGATGCAGAAACAGTCAAATGCCTGTGCACTGCAAAACCAACTGCCAGGGGTGTCAGAGCCTGGCAGTTTAAGAATAGTTTAAGTTTATTAGTTTAAGAATTGGCTTTGGAAAATTCAGTGTTGGTTAATCTGAATATTGTGGCACCACAAAAAATACGGTGGAAAATATAGAAAGACAAAACATGTTTTGTGCTGCCTGTTTCTACAATAATAAATGTTTTAGTTTTGTTATAAATATAAATAGTTTTGGTAACATGCTTTACATCTAAACAAAATATAACATATTTAATATAAATATATATATTGTGAAATTGTGAAGTGGAATCAGAATCATAATCATAATCAATACATTCTTTATAATTTTTATTCCTGAACGTGATATCATAGACTAGCCCTGATCAAAAGACAAACAGTAATAGTAATATTAAGGGTTACAGACAGATGGGATGCCACACCTTTCATAATAGATCATAATAATTTATTTAGTCATTAATTGAGTTTTTCAAGAACATTTTTACCCTCTCACATTGTGAATGTTACAACATATCCTGACCAGGTGCGATGTGATTAAGCTAAGCAATACAAGTAATCCCTTCCATGTAAATTGAAGCAACACAACATTTGGTCTGCTTTCTATTTCTGGTGCATTTGTCCAAAGAGAAATCTTATTTGTCCAAAAGCCCGCTCCATTCAGTTGTACATTAAACATCAAATATGCTCTGATCAGCTGTGCTTCAGGTCGCACACCATTTCTGCTTTTAGAGTGGAAAGATAAATTACTTGTTGCTGAAAATGTATTGTGTCACACCTGTTTAGGACAATGTATTGACCAGTATGTTGACCTAGTGCATCATTTATATCAAAAGGAACATCCTTTTTTTATAATATAAACCCTTTAAGTGATGCCAACATGAGATGCCAACCAAGGTCTCTTCACTGGAAACACAAATGCCAGCACAGCAACATAATAATTAATAATAATAATAATTTATGCATTTAGCAGACGCTTTTATCCAAAGCGACTTACAGTGCATTCAGGCTATACATTTTTTACCAGTATGTGTGTTCCCTGGGAATCGAACCCACGACCTTTTGCGCTGCTAACGCAATGCTCTACCACTGAGCCACAGGAACATAAAATATATGAATATATGAATAGCACTGCTTTTTATAGTCTGCGTTTAAACAAAGTTATGTCATGAAACTCGCAGGTCCATAGGTTATAACTCAGTCTGATATAATTACATCATCATTCACATGACGCAGCTGATTGGTTTCTTTTCGCACCAGCAGCCAATGAGCTTGCTGCTCAACATTCAAATAATTGCCCTCCACCTTCCACCTCCCCAGCTCCACCTGTATAGATCTGCTACAGGGTAATTTTATGTATGTTTTATATGGGGTAATTTCATATATGTTATATGTGCAGCAGCAGTATTTCATACTCAAGACCCTGCCCCTTTAATCAACGACTCTAAAGTGACATTTTTGGTCCGATCTAGATGCCCTCGGACTGTGATTTCATACACTTTAATACACTTTTAAAATATGCAGTTTGTAATAATGTCAAACTAAAAGTTTTACCTTAAAGTACATGTTAAATCATTGTTTTAATAATCGTCTGCTCTTCTTTAAAGAAGTACATTTATTTTGACGTGTTAACTAACATACTAAAGCACATGTCAAATACTTGATTATGATATTACATTTAAAGATTATATTTTAAATGTACTAAATTGTAATAAATGTGTAATTACAAACATACACAAATACATGACATACAAGTTTCAATAGAAATGACATTAAAGTATATTTTAGTTTACAATAAATACTTGTCAATGCATTCAACAGTACACTTTAACTATATTTCAAAGGCAATATAAGCTATTATGAAATTATCTATAGAGATGTACTTAAGTTTGACCTAAGTGGGTAAGAAAACACTCAATTTCAACAAATTGTATTTAATATAAAATTAATCAATTTAATATGAGCATTTAAATTATTTAATATAAAATTAAATAATAAATTTTCATTTAATTGTAAACTTAAAAGTATATTATTTCAGTAAAAAAAAAAAACTCTTTAAAAGTATGCTAGAGAATCAAGCCCATGACCTCATTGCAGCTAGTGTCATGCACTACAAGCTGAGCTACAGGAGCAGCAATTGTATAAACCAGTTTGTCATTCAGAGTGAACATCATCATTCCTGTCAGAGACACTAGCTAAAGGTCATGCCTCCACGATCAGATCGAGGTCACACCATCTCACCTGGCAGCTGGACGTGTGCGCATAGAGGTCAACCTCACTCTGGCTCTCTTTACATGAAGTAAGAGAGACTGGAGCCCGGGTCGGGCATTTGTGTGGCATTCAAGTGCCATTCTGTGGCATTCAGTGGCATTCCCAAATGACGTATTTTCCAGACCACCCCGCTGACATATAACAGTGATTTGTGTGAGGCAGTAAACGAGAGTGACAGCTCTCTGCAGAGGAGTACAGGAAGAAACCGATTTTCAAAATTTTTTTTCTGTACTGTTAATCATGTCTGTAGTATGTAATTTGAACTAGGAGGTATCTAAATAAAATTTGCTCTCAGATTGCCCATGCCTCCTACAGATAAACATGGCAAAACAATTCCCTCCTCCCTGTGCCATCACGCTCATCTCACAAAACCCTGAGATATTGAACATCATGATGGACGTATATGGTCACCATTGCTCTGTTCCCAAACCTAGCAAGCTGCCTTGTTGTCTACTGCCTACATCAGCAGCTACTTTTCTAAGGCAGCATCCTAACTGAAATAAGCTTGCGATCCCTTTGGGAATATTTGGATTTCTGCATTTATTACTCATAAAATGGGGTCTAAAACACAGTCTGACTAAACTAATAACTCACAAACAGTTTATTTTTAGATAACATACATCGAAAACATACTTTCTGGTCGATTCAAACTCATATGTAAAAGTCTATTGTGATGATGCAAAAATACAGCACAAAAATGTACAAAAAGAGGAACATGGTTAGACGGAAAACATTTCTGCAGCACGCTACCATGAGCGCTCTTAAAAAATATTTCTGTGAGGCATTTGAGTGTGTACTTCCTCAGAAAGTAATATACAGTACACAAGTGTTTCCTGTACTGCTCTTCACCCCTGCTGGATCTATATTGCCATGGCAAGAAATATCCCAGAATTTTTAGCTTGTAGTCTGAACTGTATAAAAATAAAATGAAACTGAATGGTAATAAAACACGTCTTTTTTGTCTTTAGGGGTTGCACGCAAAAAAAGGAACACACAACCTGAACAGTGTAGTCTGATTCACCAACAAATGACTTGTATGAGTTGGTTCTTTTAATAAAATGGTTTGAATCAGTCAGAAAAAATAATTCACTAAATTAACTAACTGATTCTGTCAGAATGGTTATTGAACCATCATAGCAAATTCCAGTGACATCTGAATCAAAGTGAAGCGAGAACTGTTCTTAACCTGCTTAAAATTGTTCAAACCACAATTGCTTTGTAATAAATGATATTTCATTATATAATATTTTAAAAAATATTACATTTAATAAATTATCAAATTTTATATGGATTAAAATCCATATACTGTGCGTGGTGAAAGGGGGAAAAAACTCTGTAGGAAACACTATTCATATTCATATTAGTTGTCAAGAAATCCCGAATAAGATTTATAAACTCTCCCTGAATGCAACCCATTTCTTTTCATTCTCCTATTTTTGGCTCAAATCTTATTATTGAGTTATTGAACGTGCAGTTTCCACCTCTACAACACCAGATCAGAGAGACAGCAAACCTCACAATGAAAGCTCTCACACACCCAGAGGAACTCTGGGTACTGCCCACAGTGTGTCAAACAGCACAGTCTCTCCAGCCTGACTAACAGCTTGTGCTAATATTATCACTGTCCATTAGACACTGTATAAATCATTAGTAAATCAACAGCTTTGCTGCCATCCGTTTGCACACATACGGTCACAGTGACACACCTACACTGGCTCAATAAAGTCCCTTTTTAAAAATGTAAATGTCATTGCATTACATAAAATCAGTTGCATTGGCCAATGTGATGCTAAACCTTTTCTAATTAACTTTTATAACTGCACAACCTGATAAATAAATAGATTATATTTCCAATAAAACTTGCTCAGCCTGAAATTATTTCCTTTTTTTTTCTGATGTCACTAAGCACTCTTATTTTACCATCTACTTTTTCATGCTTGTTTTGTAGTAAATCAGCTCAACTTAAAAAACAAAAAATCAATACTACTATGTTAATAATAATCAATACTATGTTAATAAAAAAAACTTCTCTTCCATCATTTCATTCAGATTTAAAATGAAAAGAGTGAAGATGGACTGAGATACAGAATTCAACATCAAAGGAATGTATCAGTCTTTAAAAAATGCTAGAACATTTAATTAAACAAGAACTGAATAGAGGTTACCACAATAATAAAGGTTCAGAAAAACATCCACACTTCTTTAAGCAAAATATTTTTAAAAGACAGATGGAATGTTTTATATTTGAAGTCTTTCAGCATGGTATTATATTGACAGAGATGTCTGTTAGACTGCCCTTGACATGGTTACTCAAAACGCTGCAGCGCATTTACAGAAAAATGTTCTGTAGAAAAATGTTCTGTAGAAAAACATTGTTGACATTCAAACTGACTTATGTGAGAGAGGAAAACATTTATTGGAGTGGTTAACTTTACTTTTTTCTTTGTTTGTATAGGGCAAGAGAGCTTCAACTCCAAGAGTTTGGCCCTTCAGGCCCAAAAGAAGATCTTAAGTAAAATGGCCACCATGGCCGTGGCAAACCTTCTAACAGACGATACCAGCAGCGAGATTCTGGACGAACTCTACAAGGCCAGTCGTGAATACACCAAGAGCAAGAAAAAAGCCCACAAGATCATCAAAGATGTCATCAAGATCGCCCTGAAGATTGGCATTCTCTATCGAAACCACCAGTTCAGTCCTGACGAGATGGAGACAGTCGAACGCTTCAAAAAGAAGATGAACCAGGCGGCCATGACAGTGGTGAGCTTTTACGAGGTGGAGTACACCTTCGACCGTGGCATTCTTTCTGAGCTGCTGATGGAATGTAGGGACCTTCTCCATGAGCTGGTGGAGCAGCACTTGACCATGCGCTCCCACGCGCGGATCGACCACGTTTTCAACCATTTCGCAGATGTGGATTTCCTGACCGAGCTGTACGGCCCGTCTGAAGAGTACAGACTTAACCTGAGGAAGATTTGTGATGGGATAAACAAATTCCTAGATGAGGGCACACTTTAACCTCCAGCTCACAGTTAGTCGGATGAGACTCCAGCAGGCTACTGGGAACTGAACTGCAGGATTTTACGCAACTTGTGTTCTTTGGTTTTTGTTTGAAATTCAGGCAGTCGTGATAACTTGATGATGTGATTGTTACCCAACCTGTAGGGATCGGAGTATGTGAGCAGAGTGGAGCGGCAACAATTTCTTCTCCGCGCTCCTAGCATTCAATAATCACTCCTCTCCAGCTCCGCTTTGGGTTCATCATTTCCTGCTCCTTGCTCAACTGATCAGAAACACCGCTCCGCCTTCGCTCCATGACGAAATTGGTGGCTAAAATACTTCAGAAGCCTATGTTTTGAAATATCTCAAAGTTCTGTTCAGAACTTATATTAAAGGGGTCATATGATGCTATTTTAAAGATCATTGTACTGTTCGGGTTTACAGTGTGGGGGCGTGTTAGAACGAGCCGTTTTAGGTAGGCGTGGTTAACTCCTTTCTTTTATAAAGAATATCTCTTTGGATTTGAGACTTTAGTCTTTGCAACTTTACAGATCTTCTTTATGCACCAAGAGCTTGTAACACTCCAAAGAGAAAGGAAAACTTGAAATCGCATCATATGACCCCTTTAAATTAATAATAAATACACAATACTAGAAGAATAGATTTATCGTGATTTATTGGAACACTACAATTAGCCGAAGTCTATATTAAATGACTGTTTAACTCACTTGTCTGTGCAGCGTGTTTCTACTCGGGCGAAGCTGAGGGTTGTAGTTATTTCAGAAACAGAAAGAATATGCTGTAACTTTTCCGTTTTTAAGCTGATAAATCACAGGACAGCGTTGACAATAATTTTCTGCATTCCTGAATGTTTATATGTGCTCATGATCTGTACGTTATGTGCGAGCTTGTGTGTTGTGTGTGCATGTTCAACAATGCACATTCGTTTAGAGCGGAGATTAACTACCTGTACAGTAAACTGTTTAAAACGTGAATTCACCCAATCAATATTGAGTACCCACATGCTACAAACAAACATGCCTGAGATATAACCTCCCGCACTCGTCCATCGCTGTCATTATAACCTTCACCTTCTTTCTGATTTGAGTGATAAACATACATCACAGAGACGTCTATTTGACATCTGCAAGACTTGTTTTTTAGTGTTTGCTCACCTGCAATACGTCTATAGGACGTTTCCTATCAGATGTCAAATTGACGTTTAGAAGATGTCTTTAAGATGTTTATGATTTAGAATGTATGTAAAACTGACATCTGGATGTCTATCAGATGTTTGTACACAGCAGATACTTTCCAGATGAAGCGATCTTTAACAGACATCTTGCAGACGTATGTGTGCTCTCTGGGATATCTGTCAAGCTAACTAATGATGTTTAATGCGTGAATTCTTCCTAAAATGCAGTTATATTATGGGCTGTTGGCATTAAATGTACTCGTGATGGAGCGGTAGTGGAGCGCTCCCAGAGCGAGTGAAAACCACGACGCTCCGACTTTCAAAAAATCCACTCCTCGCTCCAGTCGAAAAATTATGCCACTCCACTTCTCACTCCGCTCCCACTCCACTCCGCTCACATACTCTGGTAGGGATGGTCAACCAAATGCAGATTAAAAATCTGTTTAAGTGGATAACTTGAATGAATTGGTGTCCTGAAAACCTGTCCTTTGTGTGCAATTGCAGGAACGTTTGAAATTAGGAGCTCCTTTACATGCACTGTATGAAATTTGACCTACCTATCCTTTACGAATTGCCTAGCAATGCAACCCTAGCTTTCTTCTGTACATCCATAAGAAACAGTTAAGATGTCCAATTAATCTACTTGAAAGTTAAAGGGATATAGTTCATCCCAAAACGAACATTCTGTTGTCATTTACTCGATCTCATGATGTTCCAAACCTGTATGGCTTCATTTTTATTGTGGAACACAAAGGAGATGTTTAGCATAATCTATCGAGGTGTTCTAACAAATTTTAAAACATAACAAAATTTGGTGCAAATCAATCAGTTATGAAAGACGCAAAAAACAATGTCATTTGGTATTACTGATGGCAAACCAGACAGAATGTGTTCTCACAACACATTTGAATGTGAATCAATGTGAATGTGAACTGCTTCGAATATCATTGTCATTTTTAAAGTTTGACAGAGTCTGTCCCCATTCACTTTCTTTGCACCACCTCTTGGATTCTTCAGGAGAAATAAAGTCATGCAGGTTTAGAATGAGATAAGGGCAAGTAAATGAAGATGAAAATTATATATTTTTGGATGAACCATCCCTAAAACATTGAGAGCTTAAAAGAAAAAACGGTGCAAACCTTTGCTGAACAGAGCATACACCAAAAATAAATACATAACTGAAGTGCAGCAGAAAGATTGTAAATAAACTTTGGGGTTTTGGTCTTCTGTCTTTTGCCTTTGTAATGACTCTGTGTCACAGCAGCTACCATAATCCTGTGCTTAGTTTTTCCAGATCCTGATGTTTCAGAATATGTAAATGTGTGTATACGTACATGCAGAAGAGAAATGTGACTATTCCATAAGCCTGTTCAGTGACCCCAGAGTGTAGCACTATTATCTGTCATTAAACGATCCATATGAACTTCCTGTAGTGTCCTTTTGTCATTTCAGCTACTGTGATTGATCTGTGTTTGATTGGTCCACACTATTTAGCTAGTTAGAATAGTATGCTGTGTTCCATACAAAGCCAGATGTGGGATATTTCAACTTCAATATCGTTTCCCTGACCATATAGCATTCTGTTGCAATTTAGAAAGCAAATTTATTCAGATTTTCCAAGTGGGAAATTGGATGGATGAGTTAAATGGAATGCAACATTATTCTACTCAGCATGTTTGATTAACTAGAATAACTCTACAGGGACATCTTTGATGACCTTGGCTACGTTCACACTATCCGCGTTTGGGATTGACAACAGCATTTACTTATAGGTGTGAGTCTCAAAATGTCCTTACATTAGAGGCTTGAACACTATGGCCCGGTTTCACAAACGGGGCTTAGCTTAAGCCAGGACTAGGCCTTAGTTAAATTAAGATATTTAAGCAACTTTTACAAAAATGCCTTAGAAGAAAACATTACAGGTGTGCATCTTGACACAGAACAATGACACTGACATATTTTAAGATAAGTCAGAGCAAGATATTTTCAGTTGAGACAGCTCAAACATGCATTTTAGTCTGGGACTAGCTTAAGCCTTGTCTGTGAAATCGGAGGTATATGTATGAATATGCCATTTAAGTCAAGTCTTTCTATTTGTGACTATCACCTAAACAAAGTGACAGGAACTAAGGTAAATATCAAATATGGCCAAAACTGTCCAAAACTGCAAAGTCTTATCACATTTGACATCACAATAGTTCAATTGAGGTGCAATTTCATGTTAAAACTTCATTAACTGACGGCAGCGTTTACCTCAGGAAAAAGCAGAGAGTTTGAGTCGTATGTAGACCAAAAAACTGTCTGGAGTAGCTCCAGTGAAGGACAGTGACTGGATCTAAACCTTCAGATGACACGTAGCTCATATACTATACGTCTTTGTAAGTTTTAATTGTATCATCAACATTCAGAAGTACAACGTATTATGATCAATAACAATCTGCTTCTGCCATAATTCTTGACATAACAATTGACAAGCCCTGTTTCCCGCTGGTAATTATTACTCGTGCGCACAACTTGCAAATACGATCATTCTAACATGACGTGAATGCAGCTTTAGATGATGTGACTAATGGGAGTTCAGTTAAATCACTCTATTCAACCACAACTAAAGACACATTTCATACAACACAAAGAAGTTCTTGAAAATATAAAGCAGATCCTTTTAAATTAGAGAAGAGGGCTCACCATTCATGTCTGACAGTTTTAAAACTTCCTTTTCTACTAACATAGAGTTTTAATTCCTCTTTTCTGAACACAAAAAGAAGAGGACAGTCATTTGAATGTATCTGAAAGACCAGATTTAAAAAGCATTAAGACAGAAATGAAATTCAAGACAAAGACGCTTTCATGACAAACATCTGGTGAACATATCCTGTATTACTTGCCATTCATCCACTTTTAAAAGTGACTAAAGCACTCACTGGTCAAAATCCCCTGTCATTGCTGTACGAGCCAAGGGGTCAAGGTTTGGCTAGTTAACTTGGTCCAGTTAGTCCCTGCTGGTAGATGTTGTAACTACACGATTAAAGTATGTGGGGCAAAAGCTTCTTTCTCCATTGAAAGCATTCAAAATTATGAGAAAATAAAATTGAACATATATATATATATATATAAACATTTATGTCAATCTATATATATAACTATAACTATATATCAGTGCCCACATACTTTCAGCGACATTGATTTTTAAGTATTTTTTCCATTAATTTTTTCCAATTTAAAAAAAATCTTTGTTAATGCATTATAAGCCATGAACCAAGCCAACCAGTTAAAAGGTGAATCACAACATTACACACATTTACACCTTACACTGTATTTAACACCTTTAGTGAGGGAAAGAACTGCAATCACACAAAGCGTTGTGAATAACTTCATCCACTTTTAAAAGTGACTAAAGCACTCACTGGTCAAAATCCCCTGTCATTGCTGTACGAGCCAAGGGGTCAAGGTTTGGCTAGTTAACTTGGTCCAGTTAGTCCCTGCTGGTAGATGTTGTAACTACACGATTAAAGTATGTGGGGCAAAAGCTTCTTTCTCCATTGAAAGCACTCAAAATTATGAGAAAATAAAATTGAACATATATATATATATATATAAACATTTATGTCAATCTATATATATAACTATAACTATATATCAGTGCCCACATACTTTCAGCGACATTGATTTTTTAAGTATTTTTTCCATTAATTTTTTCCAATTTAAAAAAAATCTTTGTTAATACATTATAAGCCATGAACCAAGCCAACCAGTTAAAAGGTGAATCACAACATTACACACATTTACACCTTACACTGTATTTAACACCTTTAGTGAGGGAAAGAACTGCAATCACACAAAGCATTGTGAATAACAATCAAATTAAAAACAATTGAGAAATATAAAATAATTCATTTAAATTTGTTGATTATATCTATAGAAACAATATATTTTTTAAAGTTGTTGTTGTTTGCCAAATATGCTTATATATACAAATAAAAAGGAATTTTGATATAATTTGCAGTGCTTCATGGGTTGTGAGCATTCACTGCAAGCTCTTTTGGCGTGATTTGCTCACCATGACTCTCTCTGATTGGTGGAATTTTCTGTACAGCGTTAAATACAGTTATTTAAAAAAAAAAATAATGTGAACAGATGACTTTAATAAAAGCATATGCCATTGATTAACAACCAGTAGGTCTGTCTTTAAAAGTTTATAAGTTATCATTAAAAATCAATTTCCCTATGGAGAAAATTAGATTTTACTTCAGGAAGCCGACTGTTGCACTTAGTAATAAAGCAGATGTTTTGCCAGTGACCAATTTCTGGAGAATTAACTGAACTATACCATTAATTGCTTAAAGATATTTTTTAAACTGCTTAAGATTGTTTTTTAAACGATAACACAAAAGATGCCTCAAAGCGGGTTTTTTTTTTTCCCCCAAAGTCAATGGGTTCTGGTGTTGTTTTGAACCCAGCTGACTTTTATTGTATGGACAAAAAAACTTTTTGGGGGAACAAATTATCCCCAAAAAATTTGCACAGAAAAAGTGACATGCATAAGCAGATTGTGTCTAGGCTTGCTAATGAGGAATGGCACTCATTTTTATAACAGCTCAGGATCTCCCACACAGTGGCTTCACAGATCGAGAATGTGGACTGAGAGCCCAAATTTAGCTCACAGCACTGGGTCGGGTCGCCCAGAAATGAAATAATTGTGGTATTAAAGAACAGAAAGACTGTTGGGCATCAACAAGCTACAAATCAACCCACACACTCAACACCCCCTCACAGTGTGCACTAACAGGGGAGCCTTAGTAAGAGGAATGACAGAGCGCAGATCAACGCTGTGGGGAAGCGCAGGGTTGCCAGGTCTGCATAACAAAACTAGCCCAAATATAACCATTCAAAAATAACCCAATGACTAGGGCTGCACGATAAATCGCATGCGATATTTAAGGCGCATCTTGTCAGTAAAGCCGGTTCTGTAATCAGCGGTAAATCTCCATCACGTGCGGGTTTTCTCATTGAGCTGCATTAACTACACTGTGTAGTTAATGCTGCTCAATGTGAAAGCACGCACGTGATGGAGATTTACCGCTGATTACAGAACCGGCTTTTCTGACAAGATGCGCGTTAAATATCGAATGCGATTTATTGTGCAGCCCTACCAATGACCATCCCAAATATCAAAACTCAAAATATGCAATTCCCATACCTAAAATACATTTATATACAGTCACTCTTATGCAAACTGAAAACTACTATCATAAACGCAGCTCAAAGGCTCCCTATGCCAGTGGATCTTCTTTACAAAACTTAACACACAGTAGCAAAGTTTTGTCATTGGTTCAATAAAAGCATTTCAATCAAATATGATTTGCAATATGTCAAACCTTAAACCCGCGGGTGAAAAAAAATTAAAAATCAACCGGCAGCAACACTTTAAAAGCAGCACAATTTTGCATGGAAACCACAGACTTCCATGGGGAAAAGTTATTATTATTATTATTATTTTAATATCATAGGGCTAGACTGACTCGTTAAATGAATCAGTTTATTAAATGATTTGAAACGATTAGAAACTGATGGTTTTCACTGGCTGTGAGGTGTAGTGTTGGGCAGTAACTATAGTTACTTGTAACTAGTTACAGTACTAATATTACTTTTTGCAGTAACTAGTAGTGTAACTAATTACTATTAAGATTTCGGTAACACTTTATTTTAAGGTGTCCTTGATACACGTTACATGTACTATTTTAATCACTATTAATTATGCATAATGCAAGTAACCCTAAGCCAGACCCTGTCCTAACCTAAAACCATATAGTAAGTAGATGTAGTTAATTAATATTACATTAATTAAATGTATTATTACACTGTAACAAGGACACCTTAAAATAAATTGTAACCCAGATTTCAAGATAATAATATTACAGTAACCATCCATGAAACAGCTCGTTACTTAGTTACTTCTGATGCCTCAACCCCTATGCTGATTTGAAATCCAACAATTCCTAGATTTATTTTCATAATTGTCATGACTCGCACAGGCACATGAAGTCACCAGTGCATCTGGAAAGCTTTGAATATGGAAAAGCTTACAATCAGGGCATGGAAACATTGCCATTACACCGATTTTGTCAGGAGAAAAGGTGATCTGAACACAGTTGTGTAAGGTGTGGCATTATGGAAGTTGTGGCATTACTTTACTCTGGCATTACATGGCTTGCCCAACCACATACATCTGATCCAGATATAAATCATATTACTATAATTAAAAATCTTATTAACTTATGTGATTTCTTTTGATAAAATACTTCATGAAATATAATCATATAGGCCTGTGGGTAACAGATAAATTATAGCTACAATTAGCTTCAAGCTACACGTGACAATTAATACAACACGTTTACTTAAAAGTCACTATCAATCAATCAATCAACCCCTATGCTGAAGTAATAACATAGAGAATCTATGGGGTATTGTCAAGAGGAAAATGAGAAACAAGAGACCAAAAAATGTAGATGAGCTGAAGGCCACTGTCAAAGAAACCTGGGCTTCCATACCACCTCAGTAGTGCCACAAACTGATCACCTCCATGCTACGCCGAATTGAGGCAGTAATTAAAGCAGAAGGAGACCCTACCAAGTTATTGAGTACATGTACAGTAAATGAACATACTTTCCAGAAGGCCAACAATTCACTAGAAATGTTTTTTTTATTGGTCTTATGGAGTATTCTAATTTGTTGAGATAGTGAGTTGGTGGGTTTTTGTTAAATGTGAGCCAAAATCATCACAATTAAAAGAACCAAAGACTTAAACAACTTCAGTCTGTGTGCATTGAATTTATTTAATACACGAGTTTCACAATTTGAGTTGAATTACTGAAATAAATGAACTTTTCCACGACATTCTAATTTATTGAGATGCACCTGTACAACATCTGTGGGACGTGAAGGAAAAGTAATGTAACTAGTAGTGTAAATAATTACTGTTGCCAGAATGTAATAAGTAATAATATTACTTTTGAAAAGAGTAACTAGTAACGAGTAATAAATTACATTTTTGGAGTAACGAGCCCAACACTGGGTGTAGTAAAGTACATTGGTGAAATAAATTATTGTTGTCATAAAAAATTGTTCCCATAAAAATGTCTCACTTTCACTAACTAGGATGACAAATTGTCTTAAATGTTGTTTTTGGTGTGGTTATTGTTCCAGTATTTTTACTTTGTTACATTTTGTTCTCCCTCATAAAAAAAAGAGTGATTCACGAACGCTTTTTGAAACACTCGAATCATTAGAAATATCAGCTCAAAAGAGCGATTCATTTGTGAGTCATGACTTTGATCTTCTGACCGTTAGTCAAACTTGCTTTCGAAAGACGATTTTCTCTCCTCTGTCTAATCTATAGTTACTCTGAACTTTCATAGTGCGGCTCTATATTTGAATATCTTTGAATAAAAGGAAAACTGCTCTATAATTACACCCATGACAGAAAGAGGGCGGGATGGAGAGAGAGAGTTGAACACTCTGGTTTTAATCTCTTTATAACACCCACCAACTAACTCTCTCACAGACCACCCACCTCTGCTCCATGATTCACTATGAACACGCCAGCCAGCCAGAGACTCAACCGCACATAAACTTACACACACACTTAGACAGACACTCTTTGTTTACACAAATCATAACAGTGCATGATTAAAATTTACAAACTGATTTTAGTATCCTAAAGGTGTCTTTGGAGAAAAGAGAATCACACTGTTAGATGAAAGAACATAAGGGCCATCTTTAGAAATAGCTTTATATGGATTTATTAGTACATACAAAGCTGGTATTCACATATCAAACAGTCAAAACACAACAAAAGTATCTGAACTCTACAACAAAAAACCCTGTACAACAAACCCTGCAAATTAGTGGTGCAAACTGTTCACCTGGAAAACAAATGTTGCTTAAAATATCCATACATACAGCGTAGTCACAGAAGAACAGAAACAGATGTTCTCTCTGCAGACATCCTATGATATAAGCAGACTTTAACATGACATGAACTTTTAGTATGTGTTGAATAACTCATCTGAGATAAACAATCAGTGAAACTCCCGCTACATTTTTTTTCTCTATTTTTCCTGCATTTATTTTTTACTAACGATGTTGCGTGAGATTAGTTCTTTCATGATCTCATTGGTTCCTCCGAAGATGGGTGTAACTCTGGAGTCTGCAAAAGCCCTGAAAGACAGCACATAAGACAACCATTATGAGTCAAGACTGAAAGTCTGGCTGGGTGAATCTCAAGAATGTTAAGGTCATATTTCACCTCAAAATTATATTAACTGAAGCCTATTTTTAGGATCATTAAGATTTTTTTACATAGTGACATTTTTATGGCAAGCACATTTCCCCTCAAATTCTCATTATCATTATGAAAAATATTCATTCTCATTACTGTAACACATAAGAGATACTTCAAATATCTATGAATATTTCACAATTTAAATAATATATACTTTTTTACATTCTAGTAACGAGGACAATAAATCTATTCAACTTTCATATAAAAAAATAAGAATTTGGGGAGAAAATATGCTTCATTGTCATGAACGTTATATACTTTTTTACTTTTACTTTACTTTTAGTCATTTAGCAGACGCTTTTATCCAAAGCGACTTACAAATAAGAAAAAGTAATTAAAACTAAAAGCTAAAACTCTATAAATACTATATATATATATACACACACATTTAAGAAAATAAAAGAAATTAAATAAAAATGACAAATGAATAGTTTATAAAAACCTGAAACAGAAGTGGAAAGAGGAGAGATAAAAAGCGATACTTATGTCCTTTGCCGGTGTCGTCGCACGGTAGAGTCGATGGTCTTTACACTCTTCGGTCTTCACACGACCGCAGCCGCGACCGCTTCCGCGGTAAACTAAGCTTCTTTTTAATTAGTTTAACAAAACTCAAATTGAATTCAGCTGGACACACTTTCCTGTTTATCCCAACAAATGGCCAAGCAAAGGGCACGACACTGACAATGTACGCGATACAGTACGAGACCAAACGCCATTTCAGCACGTCTCCACACAGTAAACAAAACAAGCGTTTCCTAGCAACATATATACACTTAATGGTTCAAAAAAACAGGTTTCATTTTTTTGTGGAACACATACTGTATATTTTATATATATATATATTATATTTTTATCTCATTTTGGGATGAGCTAACCTCTAAAGCTGTATTTATATTGCATTAAAACACCAGCAGATTTTTAAAGACTCTCATCATGTATGAATATCCCAGGAGGTTCTGAAAGAGGCATTTTACACCTGCACAGGGTACATCTGATGCCAACAAAATATACAAATATACACCAACAGACTGCAGTTATCAAGAGTGACTAATCAAATGACAATTCAAATGAACCCAGTTTTAGCTCCATTTAAAGAGTGTGAGAGATATTGTGGTGTTGCTGTGCAGAGCTGAGAGAAACTCGCCCTCTGCTGGACACCAGAATAACAGTCAAGGAAATTCTCATCCCAACTCGTCACATATTGGCCCTGTCCCAAATGGCACACTTCATGTGCACTTTCGGTCTTGAGGACTTACAATGGCCGCTGCGTGCGCGTCCTTTAAATCCACAAGACCGTAGGGTGTCCCATTCGTCATTTTAGCTTTCAGAAGGGAGCACGCGAGCGCCCCCTTTCCGGCTGCTATGCGCCCTCGATGCGCACTTCTGCTGAGGCCGCAACCCTGTGAGCTACGCAGCTGAATTCTACCCGACAGTCAAAGCGGCATTACGTCATGAAAGTGTGGACTCAGAGGAAGACCATGAGGGTTTAGGGTGCCATTTGGGACAGGGCCATTGACGCTTGGCCAGGACCCCTTAGCGTCGCTTTTTAACACTCAGGGTACCCCTTTAGCGTCACGTTTCGACGTGCAGCGTACTCCATTGCTCTCAGTTGTTTGCGTCAGATCAAGACGCATTTAATGTTTTGCATGCATTTGTAAAAATATAAATCATTTTACATACATTTATACTTTCATAGATATTTTGGAGCACCTAACCCCACCCCTACCCTAAACCTACCCTCTCCTCAATAATATAAAACACATAACAGGCAAATAAAAGTAGAGTCACAGGTATTTATTGCAAAAACTGACCAAAAAAAAAAAAAGTAATAAAGTATTAGCCTACAAACAAGTTGTGTTGCATTCCAAGTCTTCTGAAGCCATACGATATCTTTATGCGAAGAACAGAGTAAATCATAAGGTTTTAATCACTGAAAATAATCCCGCTCCCTGAAAGGGATTGTTTACCCAAAAATGAAAATTACCCCATGATTTACTCACCCTCAAGCCATCCTAGGTGTATATGACTTTCTTCTTTCAGACGAATACAATTATTAGTTATATTAAAAAAATGTCCTGGCTCTTCCCAGATTTATAATGGCAGTAAATGGGGGTTGAGAGTTTGAAGCCCAAAAAAGTGCATCCATCCATCTTAGATCTTTATCCATAATTTAAACTTTATATACCATAATCTCATTCAAAAAGACACTCTCGAACATTAGCATGACACAATCGGTGACAAGACACACAAGAGCCAATGGCATTTCACAATCAAAGCTGATGTAATTTTTGAATTTGTGCACAGACTGCACACAAGATCTGAGCTTTACGGCAGATGAAGACGGTGATTGCGTCTGTTCCTCTCACAAATCAATCAATCGTTTTGCCTTGGAAGACTTAAATAACAAATTGTCCCTGTTGTTGTATCTGCCTGTTATATCCTGTGTTTTATATTGACAAATGGTTAGGTGTAGGGGTTGAGTTACGTGCTCAAAAAATTTGTAAATAGTGTAATGTAAATGTAAGTACAATTTTTGTGACTGTTTAAATTGAAAAAAAATAAATAAATAAATAGCACCCCAACATATATGCAATAATGGCAAAATTATTACCCAATATATAATATATTCATGACGATAAAATTCCCAAAGCCTTTTGTGTCTGCATATTGACGCCAAAGGTGTTTTATTTAAAGCAATGGAGGACCCTGCATGTCGAAAAATTATGCTAAAGGGGTACCCTCTATGTCAAAAAGTTATGAAAAGTGACAAAAAGTATTAAACTACTACTATTATTATTATTATTATTATGTGTATTATTATATAAATTATAAAAAATCAATACATATATTAATATTGCAGTACTACTATACTGTTACATTAAAAATACTATTTAATAATAATTATTATTTTATTTTACAGATCAACAGTAAAATTACAATATTAATGGCTGTCTCAATTTCTTTGCTTTCAAATGTTGAACAGCTTTCAGCTTTTATTTTGGTGGAAAACTGCTAGGAGAACTTGGAGCTTCTCTTTTGTTGACAACAGATTTACAGCATAAACGATTACAAACTTGGGAAGACGGTTGGAGCGTGTTGTGTTTTAAAATTCACATTAGCTGCTCTGAGCCACTAAAAACACTGCATCACAAGTTGCTCACGTGTAAAAGAACACAGTGCCGCACTTCAATCTGAAACACACCAACTATCAGCGTTTCATACAGTACACTCGCCAGTGCCAATATTTACTAGCATTTGCTGCTTGGCGTACGCTTGGGTGTTCACTGTTAGATGGCACTGCAAGCTTGTGCAGTGCTGTTGGAAGTTATGGTATACATGCATGAAATACATACAATTTAAACGCATTTGAAAAGGCAGCATTTTTTCTTGCATTTACATTGTTCATACTTCAACAATCACATTCCCGCAGCATGGGCATTCTAAATTTCTCCTTTTGTGTTTCATGGAAGAAATTCATTTGGGTTAGAAATGACATGAGGATACATGATGACAGAATTTTCATTCGTGGGTAAACTATCACTTTAACCACTGTATGCAATCACTGTCACAGAACAAACACTGCATTCTGGTTACAAGTGCAAGGTTGACCCATCAGTGCTGATGGTACACTTCTCAGTAACTGTTACTCACTTGGCTATCGGACACTCCCACATGTAGCCCGATCCACCGTGAAGCTGCAGGCACTGAGTAGCAACTCTATTCTGCAAATCTGTGGCCCTAGGGAGGGAAAAAGACTGTCACACACAAATCTGGTATTAAGTGTGCATAAAGATGCAAGAAAAGTGGTGCTTTCTATAGACTTCATCAGGCATGCAAAGCTTAACACAAAACTAATCCAAACGATAGCGCTTTTTAAAATCTGTTATTTGCCATTGTCACAATCAGTCAGCATGAAATGGAAGTTGCGACTGACATTACTTTTGTACTATAACGCATTTCTAAGTGAAACGACTTACTGAACAAGAATACATGTGGTGGGGAGATGAGATCTGGATGATAAAATCAGTTAGATTCAAATTTCAAAACACATAAGCTTTTGACCGTACTATACAGTGTTCAGTAGTGATGAGCGTTTTTGAAACTCCCAATCAATTAAACCACTTGCTTAGCAAAATGATTCATTATTTCATTAGTGTAAAAGTAGTGTATGAAGTACAGCTTACACAAAAGTCACTTTCAAACAAAGCAGCTTTCTGTATCATCTGTGTTGGGAAATATTTTGCCCTTAACCCTTGCCTTGCCCTTGCATTTTGCCCTTAAATATTTTGCCCACACAACCATTCACACCTCCAACTGTTGCCATCTGGTCGACGCTACAGAGCTCTGAGCACCAGAACGGCCAGACACAGGAACAGTTTCTTCCCTCAGGCCATCACAGGCACAGTTTCTTCCCTCAGGCCTCTCATGAACACTTGACAATAACTGTGGAACACACACTATTTATTCACTCATACACTTATTTATCTAACACACATACTCAGTCTACATTTCAATTTGCACATAATATACCTGTACATACAACTGTCTATTGTTCTATACCTGGACATACAATTGTCGATTGTCGATTTGTATATTTTTTATTCCTTATTTTACTTGTTCTATTTTTTATTTATTTTAATTAAAAAATTTTATTATCTGTGTTTTTTTTGTTTTGTCACTGTCATTCTGTTACACTGTGGAAGCTTCTGTCATGAAAACAAATTCCTCGTATGTGTAAACATACCTGGCAATAAAGCTCATTCTGATTCTGATTCTTAAGCGAAATTCCCAAACGCAAAGATTCCTATTGAAAGGACTGGATTTTGCCCACAAAACTTCCCCAAGCAATTGACCTATCGGTAAGCCCCTCCCCTCGAATGCAGATGAGCCAATGGCATTGAGTATCAGTTGCACGGGGACCGGAGGTCTACATTTTAGTGCCTCTCCATATTAAACTGGTTAAAAGTAAAATAACGTAATCTTACCCAGCGGTACATGAATCCTGGATGTTGTCATCTGCGATCGTGACGGCCGTAATGAGGCTTCTCTCGCTTGCATTGTGATCTGTAAACTCTCGCTTCCAAATTAATCTTGTTACCCACCATATTTATTTTTAAATCTTTTATATATCCCTCCATGGCATATTTAATTCCCACTTGAATGGTGGTAATTGTGTGTCCAAAATTTATCAAAAACATCTTGGGACAAGGTTTTCACACTGACAGCTGTCATAGTAAAACAGTTAGCAACTCCGTTTGTTTGTCCGAGTAAGCAACAGCAACTAATGGGGGCGGGGCTTACCGATAGGTCAATTGTAAATGTAACTGTACCTTTAGCCAATGCTTGGCAAACTACTCCAATTAGAAACAATTAACTTTCAAGCATGTGCAGTTAATAAAATTCATTCAAACTGACCAGAGATCACTCTTTCATGGGTTCACCAGATCAACGTCTCTAATGACAAACCATCAGAATTTTTTTTTACATTTTGAAACCAAGGATCATAACAGTATAACATGATAGAGCTTTGTTTGCAAAATCACATTACAGCTAGAATACACTACATGACATTTTCCCAGATTTTGCCCCGATTTGCTGTCTGGACAAGCGCCGCTTGTTGCCGAAAAGTTGTGATTTTTTTTTAGCTTTAGACTATGATTCCATCCAATCAGAGGATATCAAACGTCTAATATTTGAGCCGATTTTAGAGCACATTTTGTTTCATTTGTCATACGTCTCCTAACAACAAGGCGCATGTTTCTGCGTGACTTTGTTGTGTTCTGAACGACTTGAAAGTCTGGTATCGTGTGATACTCAGTCAGGATGCCCAGTTTTTCTCTGTAACTATTTACAAAGTCTGAAAGTGTATGATGCCTAGTGTTTTAAATTCTGTTCAGATTTGAAAAGTCTTGCAGTGGATTCCAGCCTTTACTTGGGTAGTTTGATACATGCTTCAATCCACTGATTCGAAACTAAAGTTTTCGAAGCTTCATGAAGCAGTTTCGAAAGCACCCTTCACTAGTGTTCGTCAGGTTTACTCATCAAGAGTCTCACCAATTTTTGGCCATGGACGCTGTGCTTGAGTCCAGATTCTTCTCACTGTGGAGCTGAAGGCAACTGTCAATAAAAGCTCGACCTACACATATGTCTGTTTTCAACTCAGCCAGTTTGTGCTGCACCACCTGAAAGACAGATAGACGATCAGTTATAGTTCTGATGATAATGAGACTTTAACCTGATTTAGTCCTCACTGTTTCTACTCATCCATATGTATAAATGAACAGTGTAATGGAGCTTATTCAATTTCTCTGAGCATCTGTCTCAAACTGCAGGCAGGATGGAGGGATACAATTACAAAGTGAGTGTGTGGCCGTGACCTTAAGTGAGGTTAAAAGCACACTAAACAAATGAGGAAACTAATTGTGAGGATCTGGCAGAGAAACTTAATACAACTGAAAGGATTTTTTTAAAGGGGTCATACTATGAAGAATCAAATTTTCTTTTCTTCTTTTATTTTTCATTAAAAAAAAGGAAATAATGCGGTGAAAATTCTATGAAACCAATCATACTATACAAATTGTTGCTTTATTGAAACCAAGTTGTTGCTCGTTCTGAAATTGCTGGGTTTCTGTCATCAAAAACTATAATGATTATCATTTACATGTCAACAAAGCCTATATAGTGTTCAGCTTGGTCCGCATAGTCACAACAAGGTAACAAAGTGGAAGTAGGACAGATACTAATCTCCAGAAGAACTAAAAATATTATCATTATTTGGTGAACTTTGACTCATTTTACTCGTAGTAAAATGTGTCAAACTTTACCAAACCTTTTGCTCTGGCTGGTTGTGTGTAGAACCTGCAACTCTGCAGATCCCTCTGAAGTTTATGTGTAGTTTGTTTCCTGCTCATTTCAGCCAAATCTTAATAGCTTTTGCAGCATATTTCAGTGCATATTGTTTTGTGAACCAGTCAATTAGGCTATTATAAAAGCATGGAACAGGTCAAAACTACATTAGTCTCGAGAGAACAGTGTTGTATCTCACATGTAAAATGGGCTTTTACATAGAAGTCTTAAAAGCACTGCAGCAAAAAGAAAAGAAAAGTGTAAAAACTGTAATAAAAACTACATAATGACAGTTCATGGTACAAGTAGTAAGTTTAAATTTTAAAATAAAATAATTTTAAAAAATG